CTCGGCAACGGAACGGTGAAGTATCATGAATTAATGTGCTTCATTTTTACATCGCGGAATTGCGGAGGGATTTATTCCTTTTTCTCGACGAAGCAGTGCACCTATTGTCTTTGTATTATGGTAGAGATTGGTGCAGCGTTAGCCATATATTCTTACTTCTAGCATGTTTCGGCTACAAGTTATAACATGTAATAGTTGTAACTCAAAACATTTATTTGTTACCGCTTTTAACAAGTAAAGTTACACATTCTTAATGTGCATTGTTATAGCTTCTAACATTTGGTCGTTCCATAGATTTGGCTGGTAATCTATGAGTTCTGAACGTATGGTCGAGCTGGTAATCTTTCCAATGAAATAATGGCGATTGTTGCGATTTTTTGGCATTCTATTTTTTGCACATTCCTGGCTTAAGAGGTTGCTTTGCGAGTATCATAATATTTTTCATGGATTTTATGGCTACAGCGGTCCTCTATTGACTCCATGTGTTTTTGTCAATATTTTTTACTAAAAATCGTGTGTAGAATCGAAATTCTCAAAACCTTTACCTGCCACTTGGCTGTTGAAATTGCCACTCTATAGTATTACATTGACGCTAAAATTATAAGCGCGATATACATAACCGATTGGATTAGTTTCTCGAACGTCATTAGCGTTTGTATATTTTTTGCCTACCCAGGCCATTGCTGATTACCCTGACGTAGCTTTAGCCATCTCAGTGCCAACCCCAACAAGACCTGCCAAACGTGCCTTGCTTCTGTGTTTGCTGCCCCTGTTCGTGCTATCTTCCCGATGATCACAAGTTTTATCAAGCAAACGCGTATCCTGTGCCATGCGCGCCAATATATGTTCACACATTCACCAGGGCCGTTCAACTTCAAATGATTCGATAGAAAAAAACCCTACAGTTTAATAGCGGTAAATGATTCCAGTTAAACGATATAGAATTTGTCTTGGTTTTCCATATTTTTCGTTTATAATGGTATAGAATAATTGCAATAATAAACAATCTTTCCTCTGAATTACAAAAACGTAAATATCTAGTGTGGTCTTGAGTAAATAAGAGGTTCAGACAATTAAGCTGTCTGCTTGAGGGAAATAGGAATAATCAGTTACATATTTGTGAACTTGTGTTTGAAACTTTGTGAACATGGACGCTATTTACGCGCGTATTCTCAATATTATCTGTGCAGGGATATAACCTGGATCTGAAATTTTGTGGTAGCGTTGAAATAAAGTGGTCGAATAATGAGACATTGCAAAACAGGGAGGGCAGGTATGAATAAAAATTTTAATTTTACTTTTCTTAATCTCACTTTCATTCAGAAGTATACAAAAATATTTTCTTAAAACTTCGAAACATAGTACGTTTAATTGGAATTATGTGTTGCATGTCTGTCTAAACGCGGGTCATTCTTTTATTAAATATTCTTTAGTTAAAGAATTAACATTTAAATTCGTGATAGTACACGGGACAAAAGGATTATCAAATCTGACGGATTATCTGTCGTGGGTATTGTCAGTTGTGTTCTTTAGTTTTAAATGCATGGAGAGGTGAAGCGGAATCGCTTTATTTTGTCGACCCATTCATGACTCCCGACTTCCTTTTTGTTTAACTCTTGGCGACCGTGAGGTTTGTCCCTCTGAATAATACCTTGTATGTCAAAGTATTATACATTATGTATAATACCTTCACTGGTAATAAGGGAACAATATTTAATTGCTGCCTAATTGCTCCCTTATTACCAGACTAAACTTGCTGCTTATCAACCAATTGCATGATCAATCAATGATCGGTATGAATCTTATTCATAAATTTCGAATTATTATGTTTGATATCCTACCGTATCTTGACCCTCTTTTTATCAACCCATTTCCACTATTTTGTAAGTGTTCTTCTCAATAATGGCGATGATCTTCGTAAAGTTTCGCTCGAGAACATCGTGTGATCACATGAAGATCAGAGAAGTTGCTGGCATGTGACTGCGACTGAGGTCGTGGTGTTCACGCGGTTGTTGTGTGGTGGATCCCCAATGGTGTTATTTATATTGCCAATGTTGTCAGAGATCAATTACGTCTTCATTGGGTGTTTGTCGCAGTGTAACCGCAACGCCAAACTCAACTTCCTAGTTTACTCAAACCAGCGCTAGATGTATTTTTAGACTCAGCGATGAAATTAAATATCTTACGCGTCACGCATCGACATTACCCAACACCATATAAATGTCTCTTATATCATCTATCTTGACAAATTTACTTTCTTATTTGTTAACTGTCAGTTTAAGTTCGTAAGAACTTACCATGTTTACAAGCACTAAAAGAATAATAGTGAAATTATCCGCGTTAGTTTCACATGGCTCGCGCGACTGGCTGACGCCACGGCGCCGATGTTCGGGAGCTCGAGCTTCGATGGGACGTGTCGTACAAATTCTCGCGAGTGCTGCAACGCAAGAAACTTTCCTGTTATCTGTGCAGTTGCTATTTGTGTTGTCTCATGACCTGATATTTTAGGTAAGATCCTCACTTGAGATATAAGTGAGTGTTTCTTGTCTATAATCAATTTACTCCTTGACGGAATTAATACGCTATTTAAGTGTTCACGTGAAGTCCTATACAGACATTGATTTACTTATAGCGAATTGTTCCGTAGTCGTTTACCTCCATAGAGTGGTTGTGTTAAAAGCATTGAACATTTCCTGGGCACTTACTTGATTCCCACATCCATTGATCTGTTTTTAATTTTGTCATAAATTGTAAGTCGGTGTCTGAAGGAAGAAGTGAGAGGTGTTATATAGGTTCTCGTTATTGGCTGGGGTTTGATGTAGTCTTGGTCACGGATCGCCTCGCAGGAGCCGTGTATGGCGAGCTGCTGACGCGGTCTTGGCTGGTTATGGCGGTGCTAGCGAGGTACAACCTGACGCCAACGGTGTCTACTCCCTACCATTGTCTAGCTTCTAAGGGCATCAGTCTTGTCACATTTGTGTGGTGTACGTGCCAAAAGATTCTTTACATCGGCTACAATGAAGCTCACCTCGTTGTCTGAGTTCTACATCGAGTACCCGAGGTATTAGATCGAACGATCTGGATTTGCGCTGTTGCGGCTAAAACTCACTAGTAAACATGAAATAGATTTGTGCTGATCTCTTTCTAATATAAGCAGTATTATGTTATAGGATACTAAGCTATTCTGTTCTCTGTTCAGGTGATAAAATTTATATACATATTTTTTTCAAATAAATTCCGACGATTGTCTACATGTCTAAGTCCTTTCGAAATTTGAATTCATCGATCGAAATATTGATGCAAACGCGTGTTAAGTGATGTTTTCCTCAAGCTGCATTTGGCTGCACGTGCCAGGCCACGCGTTTTAAGTGCTTGTGGATCTCTCGACTTATCAGGGCGGCGCCGTGAGTACCCTGCGCTGTTGCTCGGTGTAACGTCTGTATTGATAGCGTCCATGCTTTAACTTTACAGTTGCTATGCGTTTTCTCTGATGTCCATTAACCTGGCAGGTCAACAATATCATGATCTACTGCTTGACAGTACCTATTTCACTGTAGCATGTATGCCATATAAAATTTGATGGAGAAGAATTAGTGCTCGATCGTATGAATGTGTACCTTGTGAACCTTGATGCTGATCATTAATGCTGGGACTTATCGAAAGCGCTTTTATATAGGAGAAGTTTGAAATTTTTAAGCAGGTTGGCTTTTTTATTTATCTCGCATTGTGTTTCGTCGAAGTATGAATTGTGGGCCTGTAAAAGAATGGAAGATAGAAGTTATCGTTGAATTGTACACATCTAAAATCTTTTTTTTTTTCTGAAATAGTGCGTAGTCTTAATAAAATAGAATTAAGCATGGTTGGATAAATTGGCCCTCCTCCTTTACTTGAGGAAGCCTGCTCAGCGTTCCAATAATAAGTTTATTTTTTACGTACATTCTGTGGAGAAATAGCACCGTGCTGACGAGTTTCTGATGTAAAATGACCTCACAATTTCTCTAGTATTTATTCATTATTCAATCGCGTATTTATTCTTTGACTATATATTAACCGATTGCAATGTTTTGTGCATACTGATCGTTTAAATTGCACGCACGTCAGCAACTATTAACCTCTTAATTGAAGACTCTCTATTATTATACCGTAGCTTACCAAATATATTAAGCTGCCGAGAAATTGAGATTGTTAATCCTGACCTTACAATCTGCTATGTTGTCCTTGTTTATTTGTATTGCGTTTAATTTGAGCACTGGGAGTGCAGAGCGCTTCTTGGCAAAGCCACCCGTCACTTCCTGTGCTTTTTCTCTTGTCTATTGCTGGGCTTTTTATCCTTGCAACCATCAGCGCTACCGCCACATGCATGCTGTGTGCGCGTCATCGTTCTGCTGCATGCACTCGTGTTGCATTCATATGTTGCTCCTCGTATCTCGTCACTTATCGTTGCTGTAAGCCATGCTATGAGACTACTTTCTGTCTCTTTGATAACTGAGAAAACATATTTTCTATGTTTGAGAACTGAGAACATATTTTTTCCAACGCTGTGTTCAGCATTGAATACATTGAATACAGTCATGATTAAATGCAAATGAGATTAGAATTCTTGCTAGCAATTATCATGAATGATGATGAGTGTAATTCTCATCCCCGTGTTGAGTATCAAAGGATACTTTCTGTCTAACCGTGAGACATAATTTAACATATTTTTTCTCATCTTAAGCAAATTATTGTTACTGTTTATGCTCGCAGTGAATAATTATAGTCGCCTTTACAAATGACTCCTAAAACCTATATGGACAATTCTTGCAGCCATTAAAAACAGTTTCGCTGATCTGATCTATTTTAGTTTTACAGGCATACATGCAATACTGACCGTGCAATGCCACACTCTTAATGTGTTGGTGATCGCCTTCGGTATCACTGCTGCGGCGGCACTGTTCAGGGCTCAGTCTTGGCCGTGCCTCAGTAGTGATGCTGTCGTGCATCTGTAGTCACCCTGCGTGCATTTAACTCCTAACTTAATTAAGTAGTAGTCAACTATGCTCATCTAGGTCAACTCACTTGACTAATCTGCTCATGAAAACGTGCTCAGAACTTGTTTAGAGATTTACTTGGAATTTTTTAGGCGAAAGAATTCTCAGTGCGATAAAGTTTGTAGAAATTTTTAGGCTGCTATCTGCTCTTTTTATTCGAGGAATGAGAGTATCATCATTTTATTAGGCACAATTCTTTCATAATTCTTTTTAGAATTTGATGGAACCTTCTTGTGTTACTTCTTATCGCGTCTAAATAGATTAATTATTGGTAAAATCCTATGCTCGTTGATGCAAATCGATATATTATGCTTCTCAAGTCAAAATAGTGCTGGAAGGAAAATTTCGGCAATTTGTGTTTGAATTAAATTCATTTCGTGAACCAATGACATTGATTATTCATACGGGCGTGGGGTTGTGTAAGGCTATTGCAGCTTGTGGTGCTTCGATAAGCTTATCGCTTGGCCTGCGTGGGCCGATCGGAAGGCGTGAAGTGAGTGTGATCGGGCGAAGTTTGTTTACCTCCCATCGAGCTGTATGGAGAGTCGTCGCCAGGTGTACCGCGGAGAGCAACTGCCCTCAACTCCGGACACAACTCCTACCAGGGGATTTCTGGCGAATATTGTGGGTAGAAAAAAAGCGTCGTATTCCGTGACACCTCCTCCAGTTCGCAAAGCTACGAGGCCGGCTTTGCTTCAGCCAACAGACCTCAACTTCCGCAATGCAGCTTCTTGTCCGCTACTACCGAGGCCTGTTAGAGCCGTACCTTGCTCTTCTCCGTCATCTCCCTCTTCTGTGATCGAACATCGTGCAGGAAAAATATCTCCGGCTCCATTTGCTTCTCAGGAAGTTTGTGACAATCAAATAAAGGTCATCAGTGATAAAGGAAACAAGATTCCACTCGTAATAGTGGATTCTACAAAGTGTTCAGACATACAAACGGGAAGCTGTTTAAATTCATATGTTGACAACCATGTAGAATTACGAAAACAAGAAGATTATAATCCCGATCACAGATGGTCACATCACCGCCGTAGTGCTTCCATGTCACCCGGTGACTGCAAACCGTCCGAGTCGCCGCTGAGGTCCATCATTCCTAAGGGAATATCTTCCCTGCAGCGCCCCCTGGCTGGCGTAGATGCCTTGATACGAGCATCATGTACGTCCATGCTTGTGACCGAACACCCGCGATTTCAGAGGTCCTCTACGTGGATTTCACCTCCAACTATCCTGCAAAGCTCCAACCCATTAATCCAGAATGCCATTTTTCCATGCAGTACGGCTTCTGGAGCTTCTGCGTACTCGGTACAAGTCAAAAACACTAGCGAAGCCCCCAGCAGCGTGCCTGTTGATGAGGGATCTCTGCCTCGTCTTGCTGAAGGAAAGAGGTTCTCGCTGCTTCAGAGGAGTCACAGCTACACCAACAGGCCGCCCGTTACCCCCAACCACGCCAGCGCGAATGATTCGACTTTTAATTACAATTCGTCCAGCCTAGGAAGGCCTGTGAAGCAGAAGCATAACTTGTCCTTGCAGGAGAATGTGCAGCAGTACAAAAACTGGCTCAAAGGTACGCATTACGTCCGTGAGCGTCGCCTTGTCCTGCCTGCATTTCATTTCCGTTCCTTGCAATAACAATCAAGTCTCTGTGACGCTTGAGTCTTGGCAGTTGTGCCTCGCCTTGTGTCACGTTTGTTGCTCTAGTGCTCGAAGTGGATCTAAAACAATCGCATGGATATGTAGTGTGCTTCACTCACTTCGAATCATTTCCAGTTGAACTGTGACTAAGTCATCAACTGATTATTCCTTTTGCAGCAAGTAACTAACATTAATCAATTGAGCTTTTCTTCGTGTGGTTCGCATATTCTAACTTTGGAATTTTATGCATTTTAAAATGATCGTTAGCGTGCGAATTTTACGGTTCAATTCAACAAAGCTTCATTTCTTCGTTAGCGTGCGGATTTTATGGTTCAATTCAACAAAGCTTCATTTCTTCATTCAGGAATTCAAAGACCGTCACAAAAATATCTTGTATCCCATCAATCGCGATGAGATTGATGAGATACAAGTCTACATGAGATGAGATGTCGACCAGTCTACAGAATTTTATGTGTCCATTTAATTTCTGTCCATCACACATACGGAATATTTAAGGTCAAAATAATGAAACGACCAAAAGCACCGAATGTGCGTTCCAACGCAGTCACCCCAGCATTTTTCTGAGACGGTGAATTTTCTTTCACTTGGTGGATTCTTCGAAAATGTATTTGAATTAGGTAGGGAAGCCAAAGAAAACTATATATTTCTGCATTCTGTATCAAATGTTCATCAACATCTGTGTATAGGGTAACACATGTAGGAACAATTATGTGCCACTGACATATGTGCTTAGGTTTGATCCAAAGTAATTTGTTCGTATCAATTTACTCTTTAACCCTCAGCCTTGATCCTATAGTGTGTAATGCTCACCATTGGAGCTTAAATACCTGTTACCTACTATTACTAACTGGCCCATTGGGCATTGGGGAGGTCATGACGTAATTCGAATGGAAGAGAGCAAAGTGCATGCTCACATATAAAGAGAATATGCATGAAGTTGTATAGGGCTGCTCTTATGTTCACTTTATAATTCGCTTGTTGATGTGCTTACTATAATCTGTACTAATAGTTGATTACCAAATTTAATTGATCTGCGTTATACTCGTTTTTTAATCAATCCTAAACTCCCCTTTGATGAGTGCAGATATCACCGCCCTCCAAAAAAATGTTCATAATTCAATGCTGGAGGCGATGCGTTTATCATAAATTATGAGGTATTAATGTTAGACTATGAAGGATCATTGTCCTGCAGGGCCGCATCACTTATTCAGTTCGTGATATTGACGTGCACGATAAGCTGCTCTGCGTGACGCTGCATCTTGAGAGACTGCCTGCCAATCGCACTTGTTCACTCAGTATCACCTTTGGAGATTTGGAAATGCTCAATTGATGCTAGTACTATCTATTTATTTAATTATTTGCTTTACATGTGTGCAGTTTTTCCTCCTTGAATTCACTTCCAATTTCATCATTTTGTGTGACTTGGTTAATGGAAGCATGTCCAATTCTTCTAACAACATTTTGCATGATTATTTTAGTGCATAACTTGTTGATTATGATCATGTCTCATATTTGTCCATTACCCGTGAGACCTCCTTCAGGTGCCTCTTCTAAATACTTTACAAGAAGTCTGCTTTTAAGGTATATGCCGTATTACCGGTTCGTTTATCCTCGCATTGACTGCGTTGTGCACTGGCTGACCTTTAGTGACTACGTCGTGACTCCGTCGATGCTTTGGCTAAGAACAGCCGTAATTGCTTAGCATGCGTCTCAATTAAATAACCTGTCCGCGCATTGTGGGTGGCCGTTGACGCGAATTGGCCTGTGTGGTTTTCTATAGTCTCAGGGCTGTGCTTTGGCTGGTTTATATCCATGCTGCATCAGGTTGTAATTTGATAAATTAATTTGGAAAATTACATTATTTCTGATAGTATAAATTCTGTGTGTTATGGGAGGAATAGTTGATAAATTATTTTCATTCAGAATGAGAGCTGTTTCTTGCTCAGATGAAAATTCTAGACCGATTTCATCTTTTTGTATATTTTCTTACTTTTACATTGATTTTTTCTTTGAATGGCGATACCCTGAAAATTTTAATCAAGAATTATTCAATTTATGACGGTACGATTTAAATTTTAGGTCTTCGGAAACCAAGAGCATCCTTTGTGCGCCTCACTTTGGCACCCATGAATAGCGTTCTTATGAACCAAATCGACCCGCGACTGGCAGGTTTTTTCTCATGTCTATTTGCTGTGAAGCGTGGGCGTGTGCGACGCAGACCAGGGCATAGCATGGGCTCGAGTTCATCAGCGGTCAGTGGCATGCAAGGTGCCCGCGTTCTGCGACTTAATGCATGTGAAGCCATCGATTACTAACTCCTTTAATGCTCCGCACGTGCATGTCCATCATTTTGTGTTCATCGATAGTGGAACACGAGTTCATCATATACCACAATGCAACGTGAATAACAATAATGATTGTTTCTTGTCAACACTTCGATTTTGCCTCTCTTCTATTCATTTTGCCTCAAGTTCCGTATTGATCTTTTGTTGACGAATATGCTTTGTGTATCTCGCAAGTAATTTTTAAATCTTTGCATCTTGAATGAAATTTGAATTTCCAAAGTACTTTTTATATCTTAAATGTATATTCTAGGCCGATATTTTTGCTCCCATAATTAAATTGTATGAATAATTGGTAAAATTTTGTATTTTTCGTGCAATATTTTTTATGCAAGCATGTTGACTATTGAGCCTACGCAGCCGCTAAAGAAATGAGTCGCATTTTTTTACCCCAATGAAAGCTCTTTTCTCGCCAATATCTGTCACCTGATGTTATTTGCAGCCGAATCAAGGTCTTCGATTCGACAAACGCGTCTAACAGATTTAAGGAGTTTTGGACAAGTTACGCCTAAAATCCTTAATGCTATTCTTATCGGTATTGTGGAATTGACCCGAGCAGTAAATATTCCATCTTCTCCATTTAGGGTCAAGGTTTATCTTACGTCCTGCAGGTCTCGTCCTCCCACGCTTTCTCACTCTCAAGTCAATATTAATTATAAAAGCTGGCGCTCGTCGGCCCTGCGTTTGCTTGACTAGGCCGAGGTGATGGTTTTTAATGCATCAAATTATTCGACAGGATATGAACTTATTTAAATGAAATACACATGATCGAATGATCACGTCAGATGCAATGTGTGTGCTTGAGCCTGTTGCCAGTCCAGAGAATTCTATTTATGCAAGGTTTTATTTGTTATGCCGACATCAACTTTTGTACTATTCGAAAAACCGGCACTGATTTAAGCGAATATGGTAGTTTGCAGCAATTATCGATTGCTCCTTGTATGTCATGATTAGGTGATCAACGTATTGATTGATAACCCAGAGATGTTCCTAAGGATGCTCAACTTTCGGCTAATTGGTTTAATCCAAGTCTTGGATAGTCTGGTACCCCGTTAATATTTCATGCTTTCTTCCCTGGCGGATCTCAAAACAAAAATTCTGTTAATGTATTTAGTTCATTTTTGAAACTTGTTCAGGTTCACTTGGTTGATCTGATTGCAAATGCCTAGTTAAGAATCCAGTCCTGCATCTCATCTACATAGCTACCCAAAATAAGTTTAATTACTGATAGATATGCGCCAATAATTGACTGTTGAATGTGCGCTTCTCTCATGTATCATGTCTGGAGGGTACAGAGCGTGTCTGGTTCTAGTCCGCCTTCTCTGATGTTATTCAGACGTGGTCACGTGAGCCCGTGGCGGGAGTGGCCCGTGACTGACACTCACGTCTGCCAGAGCGCTGCTTTCTGTCAGACCATCGCCCCTCTTTGCCCGTCGAGACTTCTTATTGCTTTTTAATGATACTTATTGAGATGTCGCGAATATTATGTGTGTGCTGGTATGATGCATGGTTCAAAAATCACTTGTAATGCTCTGTACCCAATCATTGTACCTACTTCTTACTGTAGGTACTGTACTCGCTCTCACTTTGCCAGAGCATAAATGCATGTGTCATGTCCAGTCATGAATCCGTTTAATTGTGAGCGCCAGGTCCGTGGGAACGGCCAGCGGATCTGCCACTGTGGCTTGATAGGACGGACGACGCGACGCATTTGTTTGCAGCATTTCCACCTAAGACGTACGTCATTGCTCTGCTGTCATATGAATCGTTCATATTCAATCTTGGATTGATGAAACGCATCAGAAAAAAAAACAAGGGGGAGAAGTTCAAAATCTCGACGTACCTGTAACGCACTTCGTCGGGATGTGTTTTTAGTGTTAACTGCACGCGGTGAATTAAATACAATGATCTATAGTAATTTTACCTATATTTCTATAAGCAATCTAAACAATGCTGCATGATTCTCACTTGCCCTTTGGCGATGAAATAAACTTAGATTTTAAAAATATTTTTTCCTACCGGTATCTCCTATTTTTTATGGATCCCAGACCATCGGAAAAATGCTCGTACTCGCAAGTTACATAATAATTCAATTAAGGAAGCTTCGCCTCACGAGAAAGCTTCTCTGCACGCCATTCGCTCTCACTCGACGTGACTGAGATGATCGAGAGCGTCTCAGCGTGAGTTCTTGACAGGAAGCGAGCGTTTCTTCTGTTGATTTACGTGCGATGTGTTACAGCGTGTCTTGTTTCCGGTAGTAGCGAGGATTGTGTTATAGGACCGCTACTTACGACGTCTTCTCACGTCGGTACGTCGGTGTTCCCACACGCCTCGTGCTTTCTTGGCCAGATCATGCATGTCTATCGAAGGTAGTCGGGAATTACCCATGATGGTCTGTATTCATGATGGTCTGTATTCATGATGGTCTATTTAGGTTATTCGTGTTTAATGCATTTATTTATATTCATGTTTGATTTTTTTAATGAAAAAAGCTAATTAAGATCAATGCATTGCTTTCTCATACCATGCAGATCCCATATATAATGCCAAATTACATCTACATCGGTAG